CGCAAGTGTGAATTTCCACAAATAACCCTTTGACTAATTAAAACCCAACCCTAATTTCATTTATCCTGGGTTCTTCATCACCGCCAAAGCGGCCGCCCTCAGCTTCCACCACATCCTTACGTATCTGGTTCTCTTAATCTATGATGGTGGTCCGCCTATCATTGCCACGGGTCTATCTCGTTGTCAATGTGGGGAGCGGGAGAGATGATCCGAACAAAGCAGCAGCGAATTGGTGAGTGTGAAATTGATCGAATGGGAGGATTACGAGCAGGAAGTCGCGCGATTGGGGAGCCTTTCCTCTGCTCTTAAGGAAGCTGGAGAGAAGAAGGAAGCTTTGGAAGGGAAGCTTCATTCGCTCAATCGGGTTGAAGCTGAGTCATTAAGTCGATTGAATGTGCTTGAAGAGATAAGGGAGAGGGTTGGCGCTAGGAAAAAGATGATGGAGAGCTTGTCAGACCGCTTGCAGGGTGCAGCAGATAAAGCTAGTGCGGATGATTCAAGAAAGGAGAGACGATCCTAAGGATTTAATTCTTGTCAGCAGTTAGTTCAAGCTAAGCGACGTGAGTTGAGGTGAGTGAAAAGGGGGTAAATTCTACGCCTTACGTATTCTTTTAAGTGTTATGATTTTAAGTATTTTAGTGAATTGGTTACCATTGCTTGATTACGTCTATGATTGATTATTTGTGCTTTGCTTGAGCTATGATTTGAGGTGATTTGGGTTATTTACCTTAGAGTGTTATGTTATGAGTCATTGTTAAAGTTTAAGAAACAACTTGTTTTTAAGAAGTAACTCACCTTCAAGAAGGTGAAGTCGTTTTAAGTGTTTTTAGTCGCTAGCGCCAGTCCGTTGTCATTTGAGATTTTCAGATAGAGTAGCAGTTATGCTCTTGAGATCTTTGAGACAAAGCAACAATTATGCTCTTGAGACTTTTAAGATGGGCAGCAGTTATGCCCTTGAGAATCGTGGTGAAGAGCCACCACGATAAGTTTAAGATGTTAGGGGGATGAATCGTTACGACTTCCCTAACTAAGTTTAAGTTTTAGGAAAGCCTAGATGACTTCTCATACGTATGAGTTGGCAACCGGACTAGCTAGTGAGGGATCCCCGTGTCAGTCAAGTATTTAAGTCGAGATTTGAGCTTTAAGAATGGAGAGTAACAGTAACTCCCATTCAGTTTTAAGAGTTAAGCTTTTTAATAGTGGAAGTACAAAACAACTTCCACTCAGTTAAGTAAAGTAATCAAGTCTTAGTAAGATGTTAAACGTAAGGGCGTAGATTGACCTCATCTCACTCACCAGTTTGAAGAGCTAGAGGAAGAGCTAGAGGAGCATTTAGTGAGCAGCGAATTCGAGGGCAGGCAGGTAGAGGAGGGCAGTATAAGCGTCACAGAGGATGCTTAGTCAAGGTTTCAGTAGCAACAACATTAGAGATTATTAGTTATTTACATTTATGATTATGAGTATAGACTGGAGATCAGATTGAGATTTTAAAGTTTGAGTTCAATTTGCCCACGTGTTACGGCTTTGCTCCGAGCTACAAGTGTGTGTTTTTCAGTATTTTATTTATGAACATTTATCCCGCTGCGATTTAAGTTTTGAGTATTTTATTTATCAAGGGCATTTTAGTAAAAGTAGTACCCGGTCGGGTTATGGTGTTTCAACACCCCCTTCTCAATTGGTCAATTTTTTCATTAATCATTGAGAAGTATTAATGAAGGTAGAGATAATAAATGTTCTATTATTAAATACAAAGTAAGCATTAAATACATCACATTAATTACTTATTTTTTTAAAAAAAAATCTAAACATATACAAAATACAATTCTCTCTCTCATCTTTGATCTTTCTCACTCCTATATCTGATTCTTCCTTTCCCAGCAGCCTCCGACCACCAAGTTTCCTCCGACCACCACACTTCGTCGATAAAATCCAGCCGACAGACTCTTCCGGTCACCTGCGAAAATATACCACTGCATTGATATGTTGTACCACTGTACTGGTATTTGTACCACCGCACTGATACTCAGATATGACATTGGTACCAGTGCCGTGGTATAGCTACCAGTGCAGTGGTATAGCTACCAGTGCATTGGTACAACGTATCAGTGCAGTGGTATATGTTTTGAAGGTGGTCGGAGGGAGTCTGCCGATGGGATTTTTACCGGAGAAGTGTGGTGGTCGGAAGAAGACTGGTGGTCGGAGGCTGCTGAAAAAGGAAAAGTTAGATATAGGGAGAGAGAATGCATTTAGTGTAGGTTTGAATTTGAAAAAAAAAACAAATAATTAATATGGTGCATTTAATTCCTAATGTGTATTTAATGTTTGTATTAAATTTTGTAATTGTATTTAATATCCCTGGGGTGTCATTTTTCCAACCCCTCAAGCGGGTTAGCATGCTAACCGACCCCGATTCCACAAGTCAATAACTTAAAGTAATCCGGCCAACAGGCCGGGTCAATAACTAGTCTACACATAATATACTACGCCGAAGGGAAAACGGAAGCCCCATTTCAAATTTCCTGCAACGAGAGTGAAAGTAGGAAGGACATTTTGGTCTTCACAATTACTTTTTTTTATTCATTAAAAAGACAGGTACTGGGATTCGAACCATGACAATTTTAAAGAAAAGCAAAGATCATAACCAATTACACTAAGTACATTTGTTGTATCTTTTTAAATTAAAAACATGCAATAGTAGGGAGGAAAAAACCCTTCCCCCATTCCAAATTCCCTACTCCACGAGCGTTTGTAGGAAGGGTAGAATAGGGAGTGTCAATTTTTTTTCTCTTTCCTCTGTGGAACGGGCCAACTTACCGTACACATGCGGATTTAAATGGGTCCAGGAGTGTCAATTTTTTTCTTTAAGCCCTTTTATTTCTCCGTGGTGATAAAGTATATATGAAAAGGCAAAAACAATACTCCTTTTTATTGCTAAAAATAAAAAAAAATTTAACAATAAACTAATGCATGGTATCTAATGGGTTAACTGCTAACCATAAAATAAAAGAGTTGAATGGGCCTGACCTACACGAGATTTGGCCATCAAGTAAAACAAATGAACATCATTGGTTTGTCATTCTAAAACAAGCTATTTTCTCTAGCATAATATATATCATGCTATTATTTTATATCTTAGTGGCTAAAATATAATGTATTTTAAAGTTATTCAATGGTTCAACCTCGACCAACCCAATTACTCCAATTTTTATCATTTCAACTATATATTATATAATTATTTGATATCATAATGATCAAATTATAGTGTATTTTATAGGGAATCGTTTGGTATTTGTAAGTAAATAACTAAACAGAAAGATCTATTTGGTTATTTTAAACATTAAAACGATCCTAAACATTTTCAGTTCCTTTTGAATTTCTATGGTTTTATTCCCGAATAAGTAATGTGCAAATGGCGAATTGCAGTCATCTCTTTTCCTTCACTATTTTTTATTTTCAAATAGAAAGTTTAAAAGTAAAGAATAATTAGAATGTGGCATGGGTCGGTCAAACAGGCTGAATTTCAAGTTTTGGCATGTTTTGATCAAGTCTAATTTATAATCACATGGTTCCCTGATACCCGATAAAAATCTCGATCCAAACCAGTTTGGCAGGTGAGTCCGTGTTTACCACCATTTTCTAGGGATACGACAACGACGGTTCCTATCCCAAATCGTGTTGTTCATTCTTGATTTTCTTAGATTTTATCATGGCTTGACAAAAATGGGAAAGCACAATAACGACAAGATGAAAGTTTTATAAAGCAAATTAATCAGCCAACGGGCTGAGTAAAAGCTAGCAATGATTGTGAGATGCTCATTTCTCGAAAACCGACGTGATAGGTGATTTTTTATTCGATTTTCTGGAATTTGGTTTCTATAAAACTTACTCCACCTCATCATATTACCAGAAACAATATTGTTTCACAAGGTAACAGGTACTTGATTTTGGTTCTTAAGGCCGATTTTTGATTCGTTGCATCATTCATGTCTCCTTCTTGCTAAAATTCACTATTTTTATCAAGTGTTTCCCAAAAAAAAAAAAAAACTATACAACAATAAGCTATACACCTAATTACATTATCAAATTTCATACCTCACCTTTCTCCGGCCAACTGGCCGGGGCCACGCTAGTTAATATTAATAGCCCAAAGTTAAAACTGCAACCCCATTAAAAAATCTCAGCATCTAGAGTGATTTGGGGAGGGGCACTTTCGATAGTGGGAGATAAATAATTTAATGTACTGAGTGGGCTGACTGTTGCTCTAGTCTGTACTCTGAGTTGGGTTTCGGCTCAGCAAAAGAATACGCAACCATTAGTATTCCCAGTGGAGGGGTATAATAGGCATCCGATATTAAATGGTGGGGAAGCCGAGCAGCTTTATTTGCTGGGCTCAATTTTGGTTCTTAAGGCCGATTTTTGATTCGTTGCATCATTCATGTCTCTTTCCTGCTAAAATTCACTATCTTTATCACGTGTTTCCAAAAAAAAAACTATACAACAATAAGCTATACACCCCATTACATTATCAAATTTCATACCTCACCTTTCTCCGGCCAACTGGCCGGGGCCACGCTAGTTAATATTAATAGCCCAAAGTTAAAACTGCAACCCCATTAAAAAATCTCAGCATCTAGAGTGATTTGGGGAGGGGCACTTTTCGATAATAGGAGATAAATAATTTAATGTACTGAGTGGGCTGACTGTTGCTCTGTAGTCTGTACTCTAGGGGTGGGCATCCGGTTTGGTAAACCCGAACCGAACCTAACCGAACCGACCTCAAACCGAACCGAAACCGAACTTATGCTTTTCGGTTCGAAAATCGGAAAGAGAAAACGCCTAATTCGGGAGCCAGGGTAGTGCTGGCCGAACCGACGTTTCGAACACCGAACCGAAAAAACCAAAAAATTACTATGCAAGCCAAATCCTTACAGCCCAACTCTCCCCCCACAGCCCAATTGATCCCAAACCCTCCCCCTACAGCCCAACTTTCCCTACAGCCCGACTGAGCCCAAACCCTCAAAATACACAAGTCACAACCCTAGCCTCTACGGAGTCTGCTCCGCTCCCTTTCCCACTTATGGCGGCCGCCGCTACACTCCAGCGCTGCTTCTCGACGACCTCGACCGAATCCTTCTGCTCTCCATCACCGACAGTCAGGCAGACAACGTTCTCACCTCCGTCTCTTCTCTACGCGCCTCCGTCCCACGCAGAGTACAACCGATTGAGCTGCCTAGCCGTCATTACCACTCGTCGACCGACCCCTTCACATTCCCTATCCATCTGTTCTAGTCTCGCAACCACAAACCTGCAAAGCAAAGAACGAAACATGTTCATAGAACAAAACGAGGAGACGGAGAAGAATCGAAGAGCGACAACAACATGCAGAGCACAAAGAACAGAGGCAAAATCCATAAAAAAATCCCTAATTGAAGAAGCAAAACGAGGAGATGAAGAAGAATCGAAGAGCGACAGAAAAAACATGAGAATAGCCACCGTAGAGGAGACGACGACAGAGAATAAATGGTTGGCGGTGATGGTGATGGTGATGAGATAGTTCTCTAGCTATACCATCGGAATTTGGAGAGAAAGAAGAATCAGTAGAGAAAAAAGAGAGAAGTACTAGAAGGAAAGGGAGAAGGCAAAGAAGAAGAAGACGAGAGAGAGGGAAGGGGTGAGGGATTAATTGATGGAGGAGAGAGTAGAAAGATAGGCAGCAGGTAAAAATAGGCAGCACATTAGCATTTCGGTTTTGGATAGTCAAACCGAACCGAACCGAGCTATAATTCGGTTCGGTTCAACCGAACCGAATTATATCTCGGTTCGAATTCGGTTGGGGTGCTGGGTACTTCGGAAATTCGGCATGTCCTGGTTCGGTTCGGTTTGAACCGAACCGACCGAACGCCCACCCCTACTGTACTCTGAGTTGGGTTTCGGCTCAGCAAAAGAATACGCGACCATTAGTATTCCCAGTGTGGAGGGGTATAATAGGCATCCGATATTAAATGGTGGGGAAGCCGAGCAGCTTTATTTGCTGGGCCCAATTAATTTATTTTGGCCCATTTCCCCTTTCCTTTGTCGTGTTCTCAGTTGGTAGTTAGAGTGAAGAAAATAGAATTCACTTGGGATCGTGATTTTAATCTGCTCGATTAATTTATGTTTGCCCATCTCCGACATCGCCACCCTCTCCTTTCTTCTTCTCATTCTATACCCCCCATCTTCCTGTACAATCCGCCGACCTGGGTTGTGCTGCGACCCGAGGAATCGACGGGGGCAGAACCAGTTCATGAAGGAACCAGTTGAGAATCGGCATTAGATTCGATGGAAAAGGAAGCTGCGAGGTAGACGACACTCTGGAAGTGGCGAGTGACATCAAATCCCCAATTCCGTCCTCCTTCCGTCCCTTTGACAACTACTTCTCATCGTCCTTTCTCTTTGCGGTAAATTCAATTTCCCTTCAAGTTAAATTTCAATGTCTAGGGTTTGATTGCTGAGACGCAGACAATTTCAACTTTTTATGATCACTGATTGGGGAATTCTGTTTTTCAGCGACCACAGCTATCGCTCGCCCAGGCCCTCCTCTACTGCTCTAAGTCTTTTACTTCATTCAAATCTGATCTAAATCGAATGCTGTTATTGCCACTATCATAGAATCATATCCCAATCTATTTAATAAGAGTTTCTTAGAAGCAAATCCAGGGAGTGTAAATTGTAATTTTTTTTTTTTACAAAGAGACTCATGGAATTCATGTTGGAATTTGGATTTGGCTGGACCGAATACCCAATTGATAATTGAATTACATGAATCTTTTTCATCAAGAGACATGTCTCTTGAATGAAATTATATTTTAATTTAATTAGTCCAACTCTAATTGGACGGTTTGCATTTCTTTAAATGCATAGGCCAAATCAAATTTGCATGCACAGTTTTGCAAGGTACATGGCCAATTATATTGAAACATTGTAAAGGTTCATGGCCCCGTTTCATTTAAATTGAAAACAGTGAAATGGTGTGTTCTTCCTAACCGGCCACAAATTGGAAAGATACAATCTTTCAATGTAGCGGTTCATCCTCTATAAATAAAGAGCACTCCGCTGGTGGTTAAAGACACCATGAATGGATTTCCTTCATTCTTCTTCCTACTAAACTTCTAAGTATGCTTTAGGTACTTAAGCCTGGAACCTAAAGTGGTGATAGTTTTATCCTACGAAGAAATTTCCTGTAACTCTAGGCTTGTTGAGGGTGGAAATATTCTTTACGGAAAGTGAACGTAGTTCACGACTCTATCATAATCCTGGTCACTCGGTCTCAGGCTATCGTACGTGTACCCTCGTCCTTAAAAGTCCCAACAATCGTAAAGAATATTTTTCCGGTACGATGGCTCGAACTGTTCTTTACAAGAAACCGGTTCCGGTCTATGGAATTATTAGAATGTTCGATTATGGGTTTTTCATCGATGGCAGTAGAAGATGGGTTTTCTTCGTACTTGTCTCATGGTGTATTCCATATCCGGAAGGTAACTTGGAAGAGGGATGATTCGAAGATGAGGAAGAAGGAGAATGATTCGTAAAATGGAGAAATAGAAGAATGAAAATTGCATGTGGGTAGGTCACATACTCAATGGTTAATTAGTCTAATTCTCTATTCGACATTTACGGAGTTCTAGATAAATTTGGATTTGTCTAGTGGTTTGGTGGTGTGATTTTGTCTAGTGGTTTATGTTATTTTAAACCAAGGAGACAAAATTGTATATACAATGTTTGATGATTCTGGTAATAGAGTCGTTGTGTTGTATGTAGATGACATATTTATCTTTGGTACTAATCAAAGATAAGTGATTTTGTCAAGTGGTTTATGTTATTTTAAACCAAGGAGACAAAATGTGTACACAATTTATGATGATTCTGGTAATGAAGTCATCGTTCATTTGTATGTATAAGACATGCTTATCTTTGGAACCAATAAAAGATAAGTGAACTTTGATAAAAAGTTGTTATTTCAATTCTCCATGAAGGACATGGGGGAGGCAAATGTGATTATGTGTATTGAATCAAGCGGAACAACAAGAAAGAGTCTTTCTCTCAATTTTTCTGCATGAGAAGGTACTTGCATAAATTCCATAGTAGGAATTGTAGTGAGTTAAAGACCCCAATGGATCCAAGTATGGAACTTATAGTTATTACTGGAAATCAGTTTTACAACTGGAGTATTCCATGTTAAATTGGGGGCTCGATGTATGCATGACTTACATGATGCTAGATATCTCTTATGCGATAGAACAATTAAGTTGGTACGTGATGAATCCTAGTTCTCATAATTTGAATGAAATGAGGCGTGTACTAGGATATGTCAAAGGCACACTGTATAAACTTATAGTGGCTTTCCATCAATTTTGGAAGGATTTGTTGATGTTAGTTGGATTTCTCATGTTAAAGGTGATACTTCAACATTGAGATGGGTCCTCTTGCTTGGGAGAGGTGTCATATTTTGGGCCTCTAAAAAGCAAACTTGCATCACTAGTTTCACTATGGAATCAAAGTTTGTGTGGTCTTGGTTTCTCATGGAGAAGAGACATAATTGTTGAGAGGATTGGTTTATGACATATATTTATGGCCTAAACCAATCTCACCTGTTACTATCTTTTGTGATAGTAATGCTAATTTGGCTAAAGCATATAGTCAAGTGAAAATGATAAGTACGGTCATGTGGGAGTATGACACGGTAAAAGCTGTGAACTGATCATTCATAGTGTTTTGTCTAGACAGTATGACCAAACTCGAATTAATTTTGTTGATCATTTGACGAAGTGGTTAACTAGTGACTTGGTGATCAAGTCTGTGAAAGGGATGGTTTAAAGTCCATATAATTTCTGATCATGGGATATCCAATTCCCCTCTAATACAACGTTAGAGGCTGAATTCAATGTGGAAAGCTCATTCTCAGAAATTGAAGCACACAATTTGTCATCCCGAGGTATGTGCTTGTTATCCTGCATGAGAGAAGAGGATGAAGTTCAAAACTTCTTAATTGAATCTTTGACAAAGTGTATTATGCGGGTACACGAATAAAAGATTCGACCTACGTAAGCATGAAGTGTAGCCGCTTCAAGAAACCCGGACTTTGGTTTCGTGTGCGCTTATGAGAAGGATTGGACACATGGCGGATAATAGTGTCAAGGCGCTTAGAAGTTTTGAAAACTTGAGTGTATATTATCTTCGAATATTCATATGAGTCAATGGGTTCAATCGTTACCGACACCCTTTGTATTCGAATATTTGTCAAGTGTTATATACTAAGGTGAAAATTCAATTGTCATGACATTTTCATTTATGCTTAAGTTTTGTTGGAATAATGTTGTAATTTTAGTGAATTCGTAGAATACACTAAAATGGGGGAGGATTGTTGGAATTTGGTTAAAACCAAATCAAATGGACCAGTCACATTGGATTTGGCTGGACCGAATACCCAATTGATAATTGAATTACATTACCCTTTTTCATCAAGAGACATGTCTCTTGAATGAAATTATGTTTTAATTTAATTAGTCCAACTCTAATTGGACGGTTTGCATTTGTTTAAATGCATGGGCCAAATCAAATTTGCATGCACAGTTTTGCAAGGTACATGGCCAATTATATTGAAACATTGTAAAGGTTCATGGCCACGTTTCATTTAAATTGAAAACAGTGAAATGATGTGTTCTTCCTAACCGGCCACGTTTCATTCATTCTTCTTCCTACTAAACTTCTAAGTATGCTTTAGGTACTTAAACTTGAAACCTAAAGTGGTGATAGTTTTATCCTACGAAGAAATTTCCTGTAACCCTAGGCTTGTTGAGGGTGGAAATATTCTTTACGGAAAGTGAACGTAGTTCACGACTCTATCATAATCCTGGTCACCCGATCTCGGGCTATCGTACGTGTACCCTCGTCCCTAAAAGTCCCAACAATTCATCGGAGCCAAGCTCAGATATTACAGGAGTGGCGAAAATTACATTGAGGATTGTAATCAAGTCCAACAGGAGATGGTAGCGGGCTCAAGAACGCACGACCCAGTTAACCTTAACATTGAGAGAGCGTCGAACAAAGAAGATGGAAATGCTAGTGTTCGAGCCAAGCAAGCCCAACCTTTCTTCTACAGCCAGCCTTTCTTTGGACCTCTAATTGAATCAACAACGATCTTGCAGTCGGAACGAACACTGCAAGGGTCGTTCAGTACGCTAGCCAACAAATTAAACAGTCTTCATGTAATGCCTTTGCTTCAGCTTCCAGAGCTCAATTACAGAGTATGGAATAAGCCTTCCGTCACATACTTCTCCATGGTTGTTAGTGAAACTATGTCATAAGTCGCCTCCTGAGAATCTTGAATAAATGATCCATCACACTGAATCTCAATGGGGAGATTGCTTGACGGTGGTGAAGATTGATCATGGGTTGGAAATTGGAATAAGCTGATTTGTGTGAGGACCATAATCTTTCGCAGATGAGTGTAAATTGGTTATTGAGAACAACTTAGGGGTCGTTTGAAAGTTGTGATTCTTCAAATTGATGTATTAAGTCAATTAGTGTATTATCATTTGATGTATTGAATCAATTGATGTATTAGGCAAATACTTTGTTTAAAAGTTTATATTGTGTTTTTTTATGGAATATATAGTGTTTTGTTGTAAAGCCACAAAAGTAACTTTTGAGTGATGGTGAAGAATCTCAACAAAAAGTGTTAGAAACTAGGATCGTAACTCAAATAGCTAGAAGCAGAATCGAAACGGAGACAGGGATTTACATGGTTTCCTTGATCAGTGTGATCAAGACTAGTCCACGGCCGAAGCTATCAACGTATTCACTTAGCTTCCAATGTCACGTTACAATTTACAATATATAGAGTTCTCTAACCCTAGCCTAGAGGGAAGAGAGGTCGGCTTAGGGCTTGACTAAAGCCTCCTACATTCTGTACATTAATTAAATGGGCTGAAGCACAATTACATTACTCAACAGCCTCCCCCAAATTGATGAGGGTCTTGCATCATCAATTTGCCAGTAAGATAGGAATGACGGCTAGTAGTGAAGGCCTTAGTCAAGAGATCTGCAATCTGGTCTTCAGACTTGACATAGAAGAGACGAATAACTCCATCTCGGACTACGTCTCGAATATAGTGAAGATGAACCTCAATGTGCTTCGTACGATCATGAAGAACATGATTAGTCTCAATCCGAATAACACTAGTGTTATCAACATGAAGCTCCATAGGAATCTCACACGTAACACCAAAGTCAGCAAGCAATCTCCGAAGCCATTCTAATTCCGAAACCACATCATACATCACCCGGTATTCAGGTTCAGTGGATGACTTAGAAACCCGATCCTGTTTCTTACATCTCCATGAAATGAACGAGCCACCGAGACGAACACACCAACCCGTCGTGGAACGACGAGTGTTAACACACCCTGCATAGTCTGAGTCTGAGAAGGCCTGGAGAACACAAGGTCCAGTAGCAGGGAGAAATAACCCAACACCCCTAGTACCCTGAAGGTAACGAAGTAGGCGATGGACAGCAGCTAGATGAGCGGTGCGAGGAGCGGACATGAACTGACTAACTATCTGGACTGCATAAGCAATATCAGGACGAGTCGAAGTAAGATAGATAAGACTGCCTACAATACTGCGATACTGCTTACCACCATTGGGCATTAAGTCACCAGACTCCTTCCCCAGCTTAACATTAAGCTCCATCGGAGTAGAGACAGGGATGCAATCACCAAAATGAGCTGAGTCAAGAAGATCATCAATATACTTCTTCTGGCTGAGGAGAATACCATCCCGGGAACGAGTAACTTCCAATCCCAGGAAATAAG